TTTCCCGTTTTTGACTCCGTTTGCCTCTACCAATCATAAGGTACGTGTAATTTTAATATTGGGATTAATTTTCTTAATAACTGAACGCTCTTTGCACATTGGTGAAAGTTGTCCACCGTCTCTGTTTATTTGTTAAGCAGATTGGCTATTATAGTACCGAAAATTGTAGTATTACTGTCGTGCCGTATGCGGGAGGCGGAGCGGAGACAGAGGAGAGGCAGTCAGGAAATCGGGACTAATGACAACAACCAGAAACAGTTTATCACACGGGGATTCCACACGAGGTTAACGAGGGGGCGTGGCACGCGGAAGGAGCGGACTATCGCGGCAGGACAATTACTATCTGAAACTGCATGATCATCAAATCAAAGCAAACTTGTGTCTTTTGGAAAATTTTCTTGTGGTACTGGAAAAGGCATGGAAATTTATTCTGCCAGAACTGGGGGGACCCTGCATTAGCCACATTAGAATGATGTTATCTCTTTGTGTGTGTCTGTGTTTCTCTGTATGCTGTTTTGTGCAGGAATTTTTACTCACACAGTACTTTGTTACATTATAGTTACTAAATAGACCAGTGCGATAATAGTAATAAACACAGGGCTTGATTACTTCGTGATGTACATGTTACACATACTTCCTGTTCCTGGAGAACTTGCAGGACCTGTCTGACCAGCCTCGGCACAGAGTAGAAAATGGAAACTTATCCATTTATTTTCTTATTTTAAATACAATAGAAATAGACACAGGGACACAGAACTGAAACTGCCTTAACTATTGTCATATAATTCATAACATTATAACTCCCTGCACTGGAACCAGTCATTCATTCTGCACTTGACCCCCCCCCCCCATGCCCACTAACAATCCCTGCCTTTTACTTATTTATTCAGTTCCCATCTACCTGATTGACTGCAATTTTGCACAGAACCTTCTAAACACTGTAATCACTTTGCACTATATGTCACTGTGTCCTTGTTCAACTGCCCTGTGTGCCTTAATTGCCCCTTGGGGACAAATAAAGTTTTTTTAATTAAATTGAATTGAATTCATCCTGACAGGGTGACCATTGATCAATTTGATATATTACATAGACTTGAATTTGATTATGGGTTGTGTGGAATGGTATTGAAGTGTTATAAATCCTCTTTAACTAATTGACATCAATATGGTGTGGCAAATAACTGTACTTATTGTTGTCAATGTCACTGGTCAAATATGGCGTACCACAGGGATCAGACCTTGGGCCTTTATTGTTTTATCCCTAAATGCTGCCATTAGGTAACATAATGAGAAAAGATACAGTCAAGCGAAAAGGAAAGTACACTGTCAGTTCTAGGGAATGTACATATCAGGCCATAATAATAAAAAATCATCTGGACCTTACCAGGTTCTAAATTTATTTAAATCTAACTTCAGGTGTGGGGGGGGGCAGCATGTAGTTTTGTGGGCTAAGCCTCTGTGCCT